CCATTCGTAACGTATTCTACAAACGCTTTAAATAAACGTTCAAGCGTATTCCGTATCACGTGTCAGCCGACGTTCAGCTCTCCACAGGGACCCCCACGAGCTCCAATCACGCGTAATGCACAATATCAGAATTTTCTCTTGTGGAATAAGAAATGAATTTCGAGGAGAGAGCTACCGTCTCGTACAATAAATTCTCCCTCCATCCACCTTTTTATCCTCGCTGCCTTCCTTTTTTTCTCTCTCTCTCTCTCTCTTTCTCCCGCTTTATTTTTCCTCCACCTTACCTCTTATCGCGGGACGCCGCAAAATCGCTCCGAGCCCCCGATAAAGGCACGCCGGGTTATCCCCGCGTCAATTAGCGCGATCGCGCAACGGGGGGAATTTCGCCGTGTCCCCACGGCGCGCCCGGTTCGCGCCTCGAGGGAGCGTCATCGCCGCATTACGGCCGAGTAATCTCCTTTATCGTGTCCCGATCCCGATTAATTTAAAAATATGCGCGCGTTAACGACGCGTACGGTATATCGCGAGCAACGGCACGCATTACGCGCGCGCGGAGACGCGAGGAGGCGCGAAAAGATAGAGGAGAGATGGAGGAGGAGTAGGAGGAGGAGGAGGAGGAGCAGAAGGAGGCGGCGAGCGGGACCGGCCGGCTCGCGAGGTCCTGCGAAGGACATCCGCGTGCTGGAACCCCACGCGCGGATGTTACCACGCCGGCTGTAACTGTCCCTCCCCCTCCCGCTCCCTGTAACAACGGAGGAGGAAGATCGCGGACGGAGGGAGGGAGGACCCCGCGCGCGTGAAGCCAGCTTTACGACAATATAATTTTGGAAGCGACACACGGACGGCGTGGAATGCGACGATCGGAGTCAACGAACGGCGTATAGAAGTCTTCGATACGTCGTAAATGGCTCCCCCCCCCCTTCCCTCCCCCGACCCGCCGCTACGCTCCTGATCGTAACACGGACCTCTCCTCGTGGCTCGAGGAAGCTTATACAGGGTGTTTCGTGAACACCGCGGCTACGAGCTACGCGGGCGTGTCCCTCGGGATAGGTTGTTGGTCGTGGATCTCCCTATCGCGGGGAGTTTCGGTTGTGATACGATCGTGAAATTGCTTAACAAATTGGGGGCGAAGACGAATAAGACTTATTCGCCCTCTGAACAATCAATCAACCTCACGTGGGCCTTGCTTTCGGTACGTTTTTACTTGGAGGTTCAATTATCAAGGTCTCAGCTGAAGATCTGCGGAATGACGAAGGGAGAAGGTACCTAGAGACAGAGGAACTGCTCTCTAAAAGTCAATCAGTGCATTATCACTGAAAACAGTTATAAGTGATATAAATACAAGTTACAAGTACAGCACTGAATAATTCAGTGCTACATTTATAACTGCGAATCGGTGAATATTCACTGCTTTCAAATGTCCACTGATTGACTTTTAGAGAGTGTCTTCGAATCCACGCGAATTGTAGGCTCAGCGGCGGAATTGTACAGATACTCTATGCATTGTCACGTACCTGCCTGCGGAGACGGCGAAAAATGGACGGACTTGCCGAGTAAAAAAATTGTTAGGGCTAATTCAGGCAGTTGAAGGCCCCGATAAGGATGATAGCAGGATACCTCAAAAAGGGATACCCCAATTATTAAATATTGTTGGGGCCCGCTGACTCCACGTTATACGGCTGGTCGGGAGAACGGCGGAGGAGGTATCGAGGCGATAGCACCGTGTCGCCGCGGCCGGCGTCTTCGAGATACACCCATAAATTTTGGGCGCACCGAATATTCCCCGGGAATAGCTTCGACTGCATAGGTCGGATCAATAACCGCATAAAGTACGGGAAGAAAGAGCGCAGCGGCACGTATTCGCAGTATTCGGTCTCGGAGCGTGAACGTGCGTGGACTGGGAAGGAGCCCGCAGGAGATCGGAGTAAAATAGAACCTCGCGATCACGTCGCCGTGTTTTTCCCCCGTGCAACAAGGAGCAGGGAGCGCGAGGCGGTGCCCCTCACGCACTTTTTGTTCTAGCCCTTAACTTCGCGCCGTTCGCGGATATGATCAAGAAGTGCATGTGAAATTGTTGCCGAACATTTCCGCGGTACGTGACGGGCGGCTGGCCGGGCGGGAGCTCAGACGGCTCGGAAAAGAATTCGCGCAATCACGTCGATCCGGACGGCGTCATTTCTGTTTTAGGGACTTCCGGAAGATACCGCACCGACAAGTGTGAATTTTAATATCGCCAGTAGATAATCAGTAGACAACTGTCGACACAACTGGCATCAATCTATTGTCGCGAGTTACAAGGCGCTACGTTTCGACCATGTGGTCCTTCTCAAGCGATAAATGTACAATTGCGTGTCACATAAATGCCAATACAGGCGGAAGTTGTAAAATTACGGACATGTTTCAGAGCACGTCTGCAAACGTAGGCGACAACAGTGATACCGTAACGAGTTCTCGGCCATTTTTTTTCCCCCGCAATGTCTAATTATTCGCGTCGTTGAACTGTAAAAAGGCTGCGGACGTTTTCCAGCATTCGCGTTTACGTCGAAAGCTCAAGTGTCTCGGCGGTATTTAAAATAAATTTGAAGAGGCGACTTTTACAAAGAGTCAATACCACTGATCTTTCGTAATACATTGTTAAATTCCGCGCGTTCTAACGGGAGGAGCGGCTGCTCTTACCTAGATAAGGCACCAGGAGGATGGGTCCGGTGCAACGCACGTTACCGGAGTGAAAAGAATGGTACCGTAAAAATTGGGAACGGGAGAAACGTCCCATAAAGTATTGTTTTACTTTCGGTGCGTTTCCCGATAAAATCGCGGCCAGCCCGTCGGCGAGTCTCGTTTGAAACCGAGAAGAAACTGATGGCCCGTAAAGAGCACGCCGCGGGACGGTCCACCTCGGACGGTCCCGATTATATCGGGTGGGTCGGTGCTCGCGCGCCCAAAGCGCTGCCGAAGGGGGCTGCTTCGGAAAGAGGGAGAAAAAGAGAGAGGGAGGAGAAAAAAAGAGAGAGAGAGAGAGCCCTATTGTTGTGCTTAATTTAGCGTTAAATTGTTTACATCTCATTAATCGCGGTGGACAACGACGATGGGAGCTCCGCTGCGGCAACAGACCGTCCATGATCATCGATGCACGTCAATCATGGGGGGAGAAGGGGGACCGTGGCCCACGTTCCCCCCTTGGACATCGAGTCGTCCTATCGCCACGCTCCCGATTCTCGCGCGATCGAAAGGCATCCGCTTGTGCTTCGCGACTCCGATGCTCGATCCGATCGGACGGCTTTTTTTCAATAAAGGAATATAAGTAGAAATATTGGTCGAGGTACTCTGTTCATTATTCTGCCTCGGAGATTCAAGTACCCGCATGCGTACTTGACACAATAACTATCTTGCTTTATTCCTTTTTAGTCTCTTCTATTCGCTGACCGGTGAGAGTAGACTCAAGAATAGTTGAAAACAAGATCGTTGCTATGTCAGATACACTTTATGAGGGTCTTATTCCTTCTTATTGTCCTTTAAAATGAATTGGCACCCTCGAATTTGGTTTCTTCTCGAATTTTAATTGCACTATTATTCACAGATAGAGGAGTAACATTTTTATGTTATTTTTTGCGAGTGTGTATTGAGCTCAGCTCCGTGAATTCGCTAAGCCTAAGCGTTCTCGTGCGGATCGGTCATCCCGGGAATCGGAACAGATCTCTCTCTCTCCTCGTCCTATTCGCCGTATTTCGCGTCGATGAAACGACTCTGGATCAGTGTCCGGAACAACGTCCACTTGCTCCGACTGATTCGTCGAGTTTGCAACGCGGTAGTAAACACAGTTAAGCCGCGTTAGTGCGGCAATGATATCGGCTAGTTTCGATTACGAATCGAGCTGCGGGAGATTACGTTTCTCCTTAACGCGCAGGCCGTTAAGGAGATGGCCGGATTCCCGTCGTAAATATTACGTTAATTCTTCTTAGTGTTATTTGTGGCGAAAGAAAATTTTTCTCAAGGACAACACGGACGAAAGTGTTTAAAAGGAAATATTAAAAGATAATATAGCGAAGATATTAGGGAAGATTGTGACGAAAAAGGGAATACTCTCCTCGTGCAAGACGCGATTGCACAAGGTATCCTAAATAAAATATGAAGCCAGATCTCACATCGAAAATCGAATAATTATCCAGGTCAAATACCGGTTTTACGGCTTTTTACGTATGCACGTTAAAGTACACGATGAAACGTAAAATTTGATTAATATCGCTATGCGATCTAGTATGATGCGTAATAAAGAATGTGGACGTCCATGCACGTCCTGATAAACACATCTCATAAAATTAAAATACTTGGCAACGATTTATTTGCCGATATAAAGCGCAAAAATGCGCGTTTACATCGGCGGTCGTAAAATATTTTTAACGGCGTGGCTTTTCTGTCGCCGCTTTAGTAAGCTCGTAAGGGTTTACGGGCTATGATCATAGTATAATTTCACATAATGAGAACTCTTGGTACTCGATCGGACGGGGGATACGGCGACTATCTACACGGAATCTCATGCTATCGGCTTTCAATAAGGTTGATAAAGTCAACTATAGGGAGACGCGAGGAGCGAGAGTATCAAACGCCTATAAAGGAGATGCAGCTCGCGAATAATTCACTCATTATCCGCACTATCTCCTTTCTACTTCAGCAATTTCCAGAAAACGTCGGAAGGCTCGGATGCGCGTGTTTCAGCAAACACCGGTGTGTCGCGAATCTAATTTCGTAAAATCCCCATGCATTTCGATCTACGTGATACTACTAATTAAATGACGCGCGATTAATTGATTCGTCAATTTCAGCTTTTGTTAAATTGATACTGCGCACAGATATTTGCGTAACGTGCCCGTTACGGTTCAGGAAAAATAATTACGCAAAATAATACGGCCACGCGTTTTGCAAATCCAATCTCCGATTTGCAGATTTTCAAATACGTAGCTTTGAAAATCACTACGATTTGTATAAACAATTGATGGACTCACCAGTTAGGTGACTTCCGGTAAATTCGAAATCGTCGTCTTGATCCCAGTGTTTCAAACTCAAGTTTGACAAGGACGTTGCGTTGGCAAACTCCAAGTTTGCAAAATGCCAATCCAGTATCTGCCGATCCTTGGACGATAAGTAGACGTCGCTGTAATCAAGAAGAAAGAAATGTATATCAATTGTGTCATTGATAACAGCATGTATAAGATATGAAAAGAACATTTACCTAGGCGGTGATGCCTCTAACTCTTGTAATTTCGCTTCGATTTCCTTTTGCTGATCTGATAACTGATCCCACTCCTAAAAAATAAAACAAATGAGCACACTACACATGCCTCACTTATAATTTCGACGTAAAAATATATTTTTTATCCAATTATATACCTTGCAAGCATTGTGGAGATCACGCAGCTTAGACCGGAGCACGAATTCCTGCGTTATATCTCGACTTGGTAATTTACTCTCTGTCATTTCCTTGTATTGCTTATTCAATTCCATTAAACGATCCATAATAGAGATCATCTACGACATAAATTTAGTCACCATTTAATCAACTGCACAATCAAAAGTTTATACGAAAGCAAAAATATATCCTCAAGCAATAGTTCTCAATTATACGTACTCTGTGCTGATTGGTGATTAACCGTCCTTGCAACGAGAGTACAGAACGCAAATGCGCCACTTGACGCTGCTTTACGCCTTGTTCTTGTAAACGTATTACCCATTCTAACGCCTGACCTAAAGACACTGGACGCGCATTACTACCTTGCCCTCCAGATCCTCCGCTATTTACGTAATTGAAATCCAGTTGATGCGAAAGATAAGAGGTCGCTTCCAGTAATCTGTTGAATTCTCTTTCGACCATTTCATCTTTATCTTTAGGGACCTGCAAACGATATAAAACATACTGCTCTTAAATTTTGTAGCATATGATTAATATTTACTATTTATAAGAATAATCGTACCATTACTAAGAACAATTACGACAACTGTTTCAAATTTAACAGTCTTATACATATTTCATTATTGCATTAAAATATTTCGAACGTACCGTTTGGCCGTCGCTTTCATACAACGGACACTTTTGCCGTATCTTATGGAGTTCCATATTAATTTGTTTACTAAGAGTCGTAACAGGATTTCCACCTAGACCCGTGACCACCATGGCTCCCAAATCCGCGATATAATTTGATTTACGAAACGTAGCGATTCGTCCACCGACGCGATCCTAAAATTCGAATAACGCTTAGCGAAACAAGAATAAAATCAAAAATACATTGAAACAACATAGTTGCTAAAAACACTTACTCTAGCTTCCAACACAATTACTTCTAAACCGAATTGTTGCATTTGTTGAGCTGCTGCCAATCCAGCAATACCAGCCCCTATCACAATAACTTTACCTAATTTTTTGCTTGGTAAGGGCTGCAAAAAACAGATACACATTACTCATTATTCTGATAACGAATACACACACACACATACACACAGCATAAAACAATTTGCAACATTGATCTAATATTATATTAAAATTGCAAATTGCTAAAACAATTATTTGCCGAGTACGAAATCTGGTTAGTAAACTATAATATATTTTTATGCATACAATACTTGTTAAATTACCTTAAGACGTTTAAAAATTCCAAAGTTTATGAAACCATGTCGCTCCAAGAAGGCATGAATCCTACGAGCGAGCACCATATCACTATTATAAGGCGATTCAATTTGCGGCAATGCATTTTCAACGATCAACTGCTGTTTCGGATTCTCCAGCCAAATTTGCAACTGAAATTCAATCGCGTTAGAGAAGGAACAATGAAGTCAATTGGCTTCAATACTTACAAGTCTATTCCTAATATGTAAGAACACTTTCTGCGTCTGCGGTGGTCCACTGGAGATGTCCGGGAAACACGCGGCCTCGGTGGATGTCAATTTATCGAAGGGAAGACGGCTTTGAAAGGCTGCGCCTTCCAATCCATTTAACAATTCCTTCACTACACGTACGAATACAAGTTAGCATCTGTCTAAAACACTGTACCAAGTTTAAGCAACTAATGCACCAAGTTTACCATGTGGATCTTCGTGGCCGCTATCCTGATCATCCTCTTCCTTCACCTCAGTTTTCGAGACAGAAGGTACAGGAGCAGGCACTGCGGACTCGGATTCCTTTTTCACCTCCATGGGCGCCTTCTTCTCGGGTGTCACGAGGCCAGTTTTCGATTTCTCCGACGTGTCCGAGGCATTCTCATCCTCCAACTGATTATACTTTTCCTCCATTTCTCTGTATTCCACCTATGATCGAATATGATGTAACTAGCTCACGCTCTAATATCAAGTACTTGCTAGGTAAATAAGAGACGTCGTACAAGTAATAGAAAACGTTTGAAAGTGCGGTAACAGTACAGTTGTGCAATTGCTAGATGATAGCAGCTAAGTAAATACGTCTCGCCAAATGGCACATTATCCCGCAAGCAGAAAATACCGTTTCATTCGCGACATGGAAAATGAAAGGTCGCGAATAGTCGCGAAATCTCAGGCGAAACTCGTCCATCTAATTTATTATTACGCGAGAAGATAAAGCGCAGGCCGGAGTGGCGTACGACGGTCGTGCAGATCGACGGCTGACATCATTTCCCGGGCCAATTCCGACGGGATACGACGGGGAGGTAATGCGAGAGATGCGAACCTTCGCTCTTTTCCTGCGGCTCATGTCGTGCTGCTGGCGTGTGTACGTCGGCTAGATTATTCGATATGCTCCGGGCTGATCGCGGGCGAGGAGTTTGTTTTGATGCTTGAAACAGCCGGCACGCACGAAGACCCAAGAGCGGCGGCCGCCGAGTAACGCGACTCGGGAGCGCAGCGCCGCCTCGACGAAACGCCTGGCAGACAAGCACGAGTGAATATCCGTCGGTAAGTAAAGAACGACGCCGGAGAGAAATCTGTTTTACCAACTGCCGAGTGAGACAGCAAGGTGGCACAGCGCGACAGATATAGCGTACTCTCTCGCAGAAATTTGACGAAAAACGGCGGATACTAACCTTGCCGGTGATTAGAGACAATTAGGGCCATCGCACACAAAATTGCATAGTTGCATATGCACAGCACAAGACAGTCTAGAGTCTAGACTGTCTTGTGTTATGC